GCCCCTTATTTTCAGTTTCTTCAAAAAGTAGTAATCTTGGCTTGTTCACTGTTGTTTTTTTTATATTGCAGTTCGATATGACTTTTCCTGCTCTAGCATGTTCGATTCTCAGTGTTGACGCTATGGACATTAGTGGGGAGCTGCATCTTGATGTGGTATGTTGAAACTTTTTGTTTAGTTACCATTGAGCTTTTTTGTACTTCTTGATGTTGATGCTTGAAACATCATATAAGCATGTCGTATGTGTGTCCAATCTGATATTCTCCCCCTGTGAATTACAGAAACATGATATTATAAAGAGAAGACTAGATTCTCATGGTAACACTATAGAAGCAAGACAGGACGGAATAGGTGCTACTAAGGTTTGTTTCCTGTCCTTCTTCCGAACTGCTTACAGTGATTTCTTGAATGAAGTTTTGAAACTGTTTCGGCATACTTGTCATTTTGTTCTATGAGATTCTAGAAACATCATGCTGGGGTGAAGCCGCAAGCATATAGAAATTTGACTAGATAAAGGGAAGAACTGAAAGAGATTGGTTTTCGGGCTCCTGTCAAGTCTCATGCTTTTTGTGCTTGTGCAGATTGAAAAACCACTGCAGAAACATGGTGGCAGGCTGGAACATAATGAGACTTACTGTGGTTCTTGCTATGGTGCTGAAGCGGTAAGTGTGCTATCTTTCTGTCTTTCTGCATGTTTCATTTGGAGCAAGGTTTCTCAAGTTCATATTCGGATTATTGTTATTGTTTAGTTCTAGTCAACAGAATATAGTGGACTAAACAAAGACAGACGTCATACATGGATCTTGTTTTCTGTAATATTTATACTTGTAACTTCATGATAGTTTTGGTGCTCTTTCGGTCAAGCTTTACTCTATCGTTTGAGCTTTCATGTGACATATGTTGTTCTTTCGTACAGGAAGAGCATGACTGCTGCAATTCATGTGAGGATGTTCGTGAAGCATATAGAAAGAAAGGTTGGGGTGTTACAAATCCAGACTTGATTGACCAGGTGAGTTGTTGAGAATAGGTTGCTCACGTTTTGAAATTCATGACATCTGTGTTTCATTGAGGACTGGTAATAGCAATTTTGTTTTCAGTAGGCTTCTGTGTAGTTTGTTTATCTAGTATGCAATTGCGAGGCTCTAGACTGTAATATGCATGCATCCAAGAGTTTATATTTCAATTGTGAGCTGAAATACGTTTCACTTGTATGTATTTGACGCAGTGTAAACGAGAAGGTTTTCTACAAAGAGTGAAGGATGAAGAAGGTGAAGGGTGTAACATCTATGGGTTCTTGGAGGTTAATAAGGTGGCAGGGAATTTCCACTTTGCTCCTGGGAAAAGCTTTCATCAGGCTGGCGTTCACGTTCATGATCTCCTTGCTTTTCAGAAAGATAGTTTTAACGTAATAAACGACCAGTCCTGGCTTCATTTCGTTCTTTATGCTTCTAATTTATATAATTCAAACGTTGTGTCTGGTTGCAGATAAGTCACAAGATCAACAAACTGGCTTTTGGGGACTCTTTTCCTGGTGTTGTCAACCCTCTTGACAGGTAATGACTTTTCTGATCTGAATCCATTTAACTCACCCCGTAAAGTGGCACGTCTATTTTGTAATGCTCTTTAAGGTACTTAAAATTGCAGAGTCCAGTGGAGCCAAGAGACGCCTAATGCTATGTACCAATACTTTATCAAGGTTTGTTACTACTAGACAAACATTATATCATAGTTAAATTTTCCTTGAACTACCATACCCGTGTTTACTCTATTCTACTTTGTATGATTTTCAAAGGTTGTACCAACAGTATACACAGATATCAGTGGACACACGATTCAATCAAATCAGGTGAAGCGATCGAGGCTCTTAACTCTTGAACCTAATTATCTATAATTATTCTCATCTTCTTTGTGATCTTAACTCAAGTAAAATGGGCAGTTCTCAGTGACAGAACATGTTAAAAGCTCAGAAGCAGGGCAGCTTCAATCCTTACCAGGAGTTTTCTTCTTCTATGATCTCTCTCCGATAAAGGTGAGTGGTGTTGTTGTATTAACTCGCAATTCTATAGTTTCAGTTAGAACTTGGAAAAAAGGAATCTTCAAAATCTTATATGTATTTATGTGTGTTGTTTTTGGCAGGTGACATTCACAGAGGAACATATATCGTTCTTGCATTTCCTGACGAATGTTTGTGCCATAGTCGGAGGTATTCTCTATATATATACCATGCATAAGAACGCTTTGCTTTGTAGCATCATCTTTTGGTTGATCTGCTTAGAAATATAATAATCTAAAAAATGCAGGTGTTTTCACGGTCTCTGGGATAATAGACGCGTTTATATACCATGGTCAAAAAGCAATCAAGAAGAAGATGGAAATTGGTAAATTTAGTTGATCCGGACTTGTTTTTGTTTTTGGGACTGGTCTCTCCTTTTTTTTTTCGTTTGCGGATTAATATGAAATGCGTCAAATGTAACATTTATTTAATTATTTTTGTTAAGCAATAGTGGTATCTTTTAATGAACAAGTCTCTTCTTGGTTGGGGAGTTGAGTTGACAAAGACATGTCATGGGTTTCATCAATCCATCCAGCTGGTTTTGACAGCCCACGCGTGTGTTACAATCCTCTCTTTTGACTTTTTCTTCTTTGAAGACCATCATGTTACAATTATCGGGAAATCGTTTGAATCTAGACACTATAGTATGGATATAAATATAGAAAAGAAACAAGAGATCTTATAACCATATTTGCATATGTCTAGAAAAATATTTACTATTCCTGTGTCCTTGGCTACATATCTCAAATATTAACAAAAAAATTAAAGTTTGGCTACACCAACTGCATGGTGATGTGACCTAACAATAGGGGAAATAACTTAGAAAATGTTTGTCATCTTCACGAGCTAAGATTTCGATTTTGTATTGAGAATATACGAACTAAGATTTGTTACATAGCACATGCTAACCAAAAAATGAATTTTTTTTGTTTGACCATCGATATAGGTGACTAATACATGTTAGGATACAAGAACTAAATAACTAAATATATCTCAAAAACTATCAACATGTTTTTTTTGTGAGTCGCCAATGATAGCGATCAACGACGACATGTTGTGTTG